AGCAAAGGTATGGATGCACCAGCAAATCTAGAAGTTAAACGTTGGAAGAAGGCCCCCGATCTCGCGGATATGTAGTTCGTTGAGCCAGGACGATTCAAGAGGCCATAGTGCTTATTCAATAATATATGACCAGGTACACCAGCACTTCCGTCTGCCATGACAGGGATATCAGCGGCATTAGTTCCTGGCATATCAATATCCTCTCGCTCCCCAGGCATGTCTTCCAGGGCAATAGGTTGGTCAAGTTCCAACGCGCCATCCATGAGGAGATCAATCTCGTTACCATCAGACATAGAATCTTCAGAACCCTCTTCCGCTCGTTGCTCCGCGATCAAACGATCTAATGGGTCGTCATTGGCATCGTCATTTCCTGGAAGCTGTGGCTGTTGAAGAATAGGATTTTGCGGAGCGTGTGCTCCTTCACGTGGATTAATACGAATTAAAAGAGGACCCTCAGCGATGTTAGTTAAGACTTGCTTACTATGCAAGCGACACAATGAAGCCGTACAACCCTCTGTCGAGCACGACCACTTAGCTAATCGATTGCAAATGAATTGACCATTTTCTTGGAAACAACATAATAGTCTGGGTTCATTCTCCTCTACTGGTGGGGTAACGATGAATGGTAGTTCGTGGCTGTGGCATATCATAGTTCCTTGACCGCCAGTAAACTGCAGATATTGCATCTTCATGCGAGTGAGATATCCGCCTGAGGTCCGTACATAAGTAAGGGTCTGCCAAGATACGTAGGCATCCCGCAAGCTCTCTTCTACGGGCTCTGACAAGTACTCGATAGTAGTGCCCCTCTTAGTTTTGAACCACAATGAATGTTCACCTGGGTTACGGAGATAGCATTCTCCTTCCCATCTACGATCCGCAGCTCGTCCTCCCTGAGGATTATCCCAAGGACTTTGAGCGTCGCCATCCACTCGTAAGAATGATACTAACTCCCATGTGCTATCATCCACATTTATCTTGATCTCTGGACGCCTAGCACGAGCGATAGTGGTTCGAGGTGCAGTAGTACAAATGGAGAGCACAGTACACTTATCGCGTGTCTCGTCATCAGGAAGCTCTAGCAGTTTTTGATGGATAAACTGATCATTGATTGGAATACTTCGTGAATTCACATAACAAGAATGAGTATTGGGTAACGTTTTGAAAAATCGACATAGAACAATCGATGTATCGACACAGGCTGCATCCACAGCCGGATCAGGTACGAG